GGGGGAAAACAGTAATAGTGATTAATGCTTTCATATTAATAGTTCCAATATACAGGGTGTTTGGAAATTCCCGTTACAAACTTCTAGGACTTGTGGAGGGAGTGAGTACATAATGTTTTGGTTAGGAACCCATGTCCATTTCCGTTCTACGACGGTTTCAATTCAGATGTTTAACTCTTCCACTTTTGCTTGAGGAATTTGAATTAGCCGTGACGCAGTGCAATTATTAGGTGACTATTCGAAAGGAAACATAACAAAATGCCCATTTATCACTTAAGCACATTTGTTTTTATTAACACTTAAACTTTATGTGTTTACATTATTCCAAAACAAAAAAGAACCCAGCATACTGTACGTACAGAACATTACTGATGCATTACAACAGCAGCTTGATGTGGTGTCTACCTGTTGCATACCAGGACAAGCAACTCTGAGACTTTTCTCTTTCCCTCAGCAGAAGTGTAAGAGTTAAACATCTGAATTGAAACCGTCATAGAACAGAAATAGTATGTTTCCGGACATGGGTTCCTAATCAAAATATTATGTACTCACTGCCCTCTACAAGTCCTAGAAGTTTCTAACGGGAATTTCCAAACACCCTGTATACATATAATTTTTTTAAGGTAAGAAGAAAAATACATTACAATAATAGTAATAAATATTTTTTCTCATAGAAAAAATATTTATGGATTTTATAGTAATATCATAGTTCTTTCTAGCATTGTAATTTCTTAATTATGCAATATAGAAATACTCAAAACTTGCAGGCCAAGTTAGATGTCATAAATGATAAATTTTTAATTTTGTCTTGAATTTGCAGGCTATGCCATATTCAAAGATTATATCTTGTAATTAATAAATTTTCATAACTATCTCATGTTTTGCTGAGAAATATTTATATCATCACAAATAGTTTCAATCTAATTTCTATAGATTATTTTCAGATTTAATACTGTATCTGAATGTTTTTTAAATGGAACATTTGAACATATGTAATTTAAACACAAAATTAAAATACAGAATATAAAAACAAAAAATGAAATAAATAAAATAAGTAACAAACAAACTAATGTATTGTATACAAAAGGGTGGATGCAAACTACAAGTTTCTATATTGCAATTTCTTTATGTTGAATTTCCATGGAGAAGATAACTCTTCTGCATTGCTGACATTAATGCAATCATCAATTTGCTTTCATAAATTGAAATTTTTAAAAAATGTTTGGATACCTGAAGAAGACATAAAATTTAGGTTTAAAACATTTGTGATATAAATAAATATTTCTCAGCAAGCATATGGTGGTTACAAAAATTTAGTAATTGTTTCTCACTGCTGATTCTTACTTTGATTGTTATATCATGTATTCAATTAAAAACATATAATCTATAATATGTCACACAAATCATCTTTTCAGAAAGATGGATATCTGGTAGAATTTTGTTCATTCAAACACACGACAATCTTAAATAACACTGTTTTAGCAAATGCATAGGTGCGGTCATAAATTTGTACTTTATCTCTGCTGATCACATCTGAACTCTATACTGTTTTAAAATGAAATCTTTATTTTTAAAAAATAAACAGCAATGCATTATTGAGCATAGTTCTACATATGTCAGAAAGTATTTTGTCTCTGATTGAAGTTTAAAGCAACTGCACAATCACTAAACATGATTTTTTGCAAATATATACAATTTGGCAAGGATGATATTGTGACAAAGCCAGAATTTTGAAATTCAATCTATAGGCTGAGATGTCTGAGGTCAAAGTTTGTCATGCAGTCTATGGGCTGATTGGGTTGCAATTTGAAAAAATTGTAAACCTATAAATTCCCACTGTCATCTGTCTGTCCTTAATCTTGAGAATGGAGTTAGATGGATGAAAGTCAAGACCAGATATGGAAAGATTAGGGGCAGGAGTCCCTGTTTAACTATATACAAACTTTTTGTTTGCACTAGAAGACATCTTATTTCAATTGAAAAATTTTCCCCTGAAAGGAGTTCAATGTATGACTGGTGCAACTCTATTGCTAACAGGAAGAGTATGATGTACAGGGGCAAGACACTAATTTGAAATGGAGAACATATTTTAAATTAAATAAATTAAAAATGTGATTAAAAATTGCTGCTCAGTATTGTGATGATGTCACAATAAAATAATTGCTCATTGTGAACTGATTGCATGCTACATGTCGATCGAGTTTCTGATTGCTGTCAAAAATTTTTATTTTAGATTTAGATCAGTTTTAAACACTTTTTTCGTGTAGTGTTTGTTTTCTATGCTATGGAGCTCAGTTGCTAGAAAATACCTAGTTTATGGTATATAACAGACATGGGCAAATGCGGCTCTTTTTGAGTTACATGCAGCTCTTGCTGAAAGTGTTAATTTCTGCTTTTTATTGTTATTTTTACAATTTTATTTCCACAATTTTGTGAAAATATGTTTATTTAAAAAATTCAATATTTGTTTTATATTATATTATATAATAAAATCGTGGTACAGAATAAAAAAGTACAGAACTGTGGCTCCATGCATTTTGCAAAACCTACATTTCGGCTCCCATTGAACTCTTGCTTGCCCACCCCTTGTATATAATAAACATTGTAAAATATATAGTACTAACACTATATATTTTACAATGGCTTTATTTTTGTTTTGTTATTTTTTGACAGCAAAGTTTTTTTCTACAAATTTGTTTATAAATATTCCACAGCTGTACTTAATTTTATTATGCTTGGAATTGGTCTTCAATTTGTTAGCTATTCTTTTGAAGAAACAATACAAACATCTTGATTCTAGAATTACAACACCAGCTTTATATTTATTAATTTAATTCTGTTTATTTTCTAATAGATTTTATCTTACAGTTAACAGTCAATAAAATTTTTAATAATTGACCAGAATAAACTATTTTGGAAATAAAGTTATTTTTTAAAAATTATTTTCAATATAATATTTTATATTTCAATGATGATGATTTTAATTTCATAATGAAATTACTTTAATTAAATATTAGCCTTTAAATATACAAAAACATTGAACAGGAAACAAATTTTGATACAAGAAGTGTATTAAAAATGTCCTAAAAAATTCTTGTTCATTAAATGTACAAATAATTACAACTGTTTCTAAAATGATGCATTTGTGTAACTCCCACTCCATATTAATCAACCCTGGAGGAAACCAGCCTCTCTGGTAAATACCAGAGAAGCTGGTTGATATGACCAGAGAGAATGATAAATACCATTGACATTTGTCAATGGGCAGTCTAACCAAGCTGATGAAAGCCTTAGTTGTTCTGGAGATCCTGATTCAAATCTGGATCAGCTTAGAAATTTTTGTGATTTGGTTAACTCTAGTGTTGGATTATCTCGATCATCCAGCCAACCTAATGTGGACTTTGCTGAACCTATGATATACATAGGAATAGGCTTAATAAAATAATTGAAACTTTAATATGTTTGAAAAATTATTTCATGAGCAAATAATAAAATGTTTTAGTTTGGTGATTTTCTTATACAGTATAGAATTTCTTAATGTTACGATAATTTTATAATTAAACTATCCAGAGGCAATCTACACAGGGTAATGGGTCTATTAGAGCAAAAATTAATTTATTACAGGGAGTATTTCATTCTCTGTTTGTGAGATAAAGCATGAAATTTTCGTATAGAATATCAAATTGATTTTCCTCCATTAATTTAAATATTAAGTGTAAAGTGGGAAGAGCGATTGGCCCTTAACAAGATGTTAAGTTTATATAACAAGATATCCAGCAGTCATTTGCATGTAAACATTTTTAAATTTAATATTTGTCTCAAAAGTTTTAAATAACAACGTACAAAAACAGACACAGAACCAACTTCTGGTGTGTATAATACAAAATGAACACTGCACGAATGTTTTCCAACTCCTTCCAAGTTCTTCAGGTGCGATTGAACGCTTATCCTACGGAACGTTATTGGGACTAACACCTTTACTATTTAAAAAATTTCATTGCATAATTTAAATTTAAATCGTTTAAACCGGAAGTCAATTGAAAATTATTCGTTAAAAGTTAGGATCATGTGCATGGCAGTTCAAGATGTAGATTTGCATACCGTAAGACTTTTTCTATGAAAACTGTTTGGATTAATATTGGCTCATCAGATTTATTTATTTATTGAATGTACTGTATTAGGAAAAAAGGGGGAAGGAAGGAAAATGGAGCCGATAAAAGGTCGAGGAATCCATTAGGGGGTTGATAATCAAAACAAATTTGGGGATATTAAACTGATGATGTACCAGTATTATTTACTTTCTTGTAAACATGAACTGTGGCAAAAAATAAAAAGATTTTTATTAAAAAAATAATCTGATAATATAAACTTTTAGTGAAATGAAAAAAACCATTACAAATATTTAGTAATTTCCAAATATGAGTATTAACGAGGCGTCTTTTCATTCATTTCAATTATTTTTAAATGTACACGTAGAGCCTTACGCTTCGTAAGGTTCCTACATATTCAATTCAGAAATGCGACGGTGTTTGTTCAAGTTATTTACAGAGAGTCTTGTCTTTTGCACTAGTATGACTAAAACAAATATCATTTAAAGAATAGCGAATACAAAAATACTTGTGTAAAGAAGTAGGAAGTTATATGTAACTAGCATCTGCTAACTAGTGATATTTATTAGTAGTAACGATTTTTATAATCTAGTCGCATTTGTAAGCACGTTGTTATCAATGGCAAATATTAATAAATATACTTTGTAAAATTATGATTAGTTTATAACCAAGGTTGACATTCCTTCGACGTTCGTATTTTTAATCGCGCCGGATCAATTCGTAGACTTTTCATAACGCGAATGTTTAATTTAAAACATTATGCAAGGCAATTTTCTTTAAAAAACGCTTAATAAAGGCGTAACATCATTAGTACCAAATGAGCTAGTTTTTATGGAGTCACTTGTCACATCGTCCATACATTATCTTCTTACATGATTTATATAACGATCTCTAGACGAAATTCTTCCTTAACGAGTACTGATGCACATCACTCTCTTTGTTATTCAAAGGCTTTCTTAACGTCTCCACGATTATTAGTTTGCCTACAGGTCTGCATCAGTGGTAACTGGACCGCATTACTAATGTGTATTTATCCTACCAATGGGTGGATTCGCGTAGTCGACGACCAATCGTCGCACAGGTGCATCGAAGTTCTTGTTTTGGTTGAAAGGTGTTTCTTTTCTGTCCGAAACATTACCGAAATGTCAAGTAAGTAAAGCTTAGAAAACATTATTTTCTATTTAATTACCTTAACACTCGATACGTTCGAGGATTTTTACGATTCGACGTCATCTAAGCCAAATGTTAAATGTCGCGACAGGTGGTACGAGTAGTTAAAAATACGCAAAAACAACGAAGTACCTGCTGTTGTATAATGCTTGCAATATTTTTCAGTGCTCCTTTAGGCTGTGTTTTCTACTACTTTAACATTGAAGAAAGTTTTAGGTTCCAAACTTAATATTCACGAGGCAAGCGGATGCATTGCTTTCCAGCTGATTTGCAAACATGCACGGAATTGCAAATATTTGCGACTAGGTGTAATGCGATACGTGAATATTAATTATTATTCGTGATTTTGATAGAAAATATATTACACAAGCTGGTAATGTAATGTTTTTAATTACTTAATACTGGTAAATTTTGTGACAAAATTAATTTCTCGAATAATTTGTAGAATGAATTTAGTCTTTGGCATGGCTTCATACTAACCTAATAGTGATGTGATTTCTTGGTCTCGTGTCGGTTTTTCTATTGCATTATATTGAATTTTATTGAATAATTAGGTAGTTTATACATTTATAATTAACAATATAAGTAATAATTAGTAAAATTTGGACTGTTATAAAAAATGATATGGCTAAGATATTTATTAATATAAAAACTTGCATTATTGTTACTTTAATTTTTGGAATGTTTAACACTATAGAAACAATGTTTTGATCATACAAAGAAATTGTGTATGAAATATTTTAAATATTCACGAGTTAAATGTAGCCTAAGCCTGTAATTTTTGAGAGATTTAAGACATATTCGTATTGATACAAATTTTTTTTCATTTAACTTTTACAAATAATAAGGTCATATTTATTTCACATGAAACTGGTAAGCTTCAATATTATAGATGATATCTAAACATGAGTATTTATTAAATATAATTTTTTCGATGTAATATTTCGTAATCAGTTTTTCCTTCCATTAGTTTGTTTTTTTTTATACGAATAATAAGATCTGTTTTAAGATACCGCCTATAAAAATATTCATATTCAGAATTACCCATTCACGATAAAAATGTACCGACCTATTATGGAAGACATCTTTAGGAGCCTTGACCCATATAAATGCGCTTGTAAATCAAGCTCTTTACAACATAATGTAATATTTGATAACTTATTGTTATAGTTCTGACATTAGACGATAAACGATGCGATTAAATTGCAATATTACCTATGTCATTCTATATTTAAGATAATTTTTTAATCATTCGATTCGTTGAATATGATTTAATTAAATAACTTGAAAGTTTGTATAAACTCTTCGAATTTTTACAAGTTGAAAATTCCCTGAAGTATACGAAGAATTTCTTAGCCGTAAGGGAATTTTTTCTAACAAGAACCAGCTATTACGTCCCTTGCTAATGCAAAGAAAAAAAAAGATAATAAAAAAAACAATTTAACGTTTCCACATTTATTAAGGAAATTAGACTGAAAGTAAAAATTTCCAAGTATTCACCTACGAGAGTTTTCTACGAAATTTATTAGGAAAGTTTTGTTATTTTTATAAAAATATTAAATTAAGTTTGGATTTAATACAACCTCGTTCTTTCTTTGTTAAATGATCTGTATAAATGTTATAAATTAACTGTATTTCTTATCGATAAAAATATCTTTTTGCTACTGTCGCGTGAGATATAAACTTTTTAAAACGTTTTCCGATCCATTCGTACATTGAAAAATTACTATGCAGAAGCAACAAATGATGTGACATTTTTGAGGGAAGAATATAAAATTTCGTAGATGAAAATGATGAAATTTAATTCGACCTCAATTCAATAGATAAATTACGGTAAATTAAATAGCTTGCATTCCATTAACAATCGAATCTTTCATCCGACTCTCAGATATAAATCAAATTTGTTTAAAACATATTTCAATAAAACTGATCTAGTATCTTTGTCTTTAGTAGAGGTAATTCTTAAATAATATAATTCGTTAATAGATACTTAACAGCATATACTTGTAATATAAAACACATAAGCTTACTATCATATGTTTTATAAGCAAACAACTGCATATAAAACTAGAAATAGCTTTCTTATTTGTTGAATTTAACAATTTGATATAGACACCACAATATTTAGATAGTATATATATATACTAGTGTGTAATCACCTGTTTAAGGTGATCATGTGTACTATGATTATATGTACTGTGTTAGATGCAGTGTTTATATTATTAAATTTAATTTCTGTAAATATTTCCTAAGGCAGTTTACAACTGTTATGACGTTTACTAATTGATTTAAAATTCAAAATCATGTTTCAATAAAATATTTCGCCTACCAGTGGCCGAACGGATAAAACCTCTGTCGTTCACACCTCACGAACGAAGTTTTCCGGGTTTTATTCACGTGTATAACACCTAAATAGGAGCCAGTTTCCCATAGGAAGTTCTCCCGGAAGGCATCCCCCTTGGCAGATCGCCCACGTGTTGTCCGTATCTATCAAATAATAAAATATATATATATATATATTTTTTTTTTACTCTCTTAATTCTTAATGTCTACTTACTTTTTGTCGATTTTTTTTACACGACAATGGATATTATGTAAACTTTTTGATTCAGTAAAACCTTTCCCTATCTGAAACTCTTAAATAAACCAATAGTAGAAAGAATAATTAACCTTGAGTAATCGAACCCGGTCTCTCCCGAGAATACGACACATTTTTACTCTATCGTGTAACACCGATGCGATAAGCATTAATTAAAATTCAAAACTGAAAGTTGATCATTATAAAATTCGATACGATTTCCACACCGCATTCTTCATATAATACGAGGTCCAAGACTCATTACGGATGCTGTTGATTAAACGAAAAAAAAAAAAGCCCATTTCCGTTTCCGGCGTTGGATAATAATTAAAATGATTGCGTGAAACACGAATTTTTATCATCAAATTCGTGTTTCTTCGTTAAGCCATATATCAATCAAGCGAATACATTAAAACTGGTTTCTGTAGGCATTATAGCAGGCAGATGCAGATATAATCGGGCATAAAGACTCGTAAAGAAAAGAAGATAATGTTGATATCACTCCAAAACTATTCAATTCCTTTTTCGGGTTACTTTTAAAATATATTTTAATCGAAATTTCGAGTTTTATCTCTACAAAAACAATTTAACTTATTTTTTTCTCTATTCATGTCGGCTTCAAATTATGGAAAATCACTTTTAAAAACTAATTTAATTTGAAAACTTTAAAAAAATTTTATTTCCCAAAATTTACTTTTAACTATTAATTAATTAAATTTAATTGAGTTAATTATTAGTAAAATGTTTAATGTTTTTTTTTTTCTGGAATTACTTCATCCCGAAGCATCCAAAAAATTTATCAGCTTCAAAGTCATTGATTTATCAGAAATTATAAATTATTTCATATAAATTATATTATTATTTTTAAATAAACATTATTAGGAATAAAATTTAATTATTTTCATAATNATATTAATAATATTATTATAAATTGCACCGGAATTGACACGGCGATTAGTAAAACATTTATAAGTGACAAATTCGAAGCTTACGTAGATCGACGGTTGCGTTGTAACATGGCGCAATTTACTGAATAATAAACAAACTTGATCGATGTGAAAATTGTTTATAATAAGAAGCTTTACCAGATGTATTTAATATATTTAATGCCGGCGATACGCGATAGTCGCTTAGAACTAGCGATTATATCGCGCGATCTTCTAAATAGATTTAAATAAAATTTATTTATAAAGCGATTTTTTTTAAAGTAAATTTGCCTTTTTATTATCCTCTTGAAATTTAGAGCAACAGCAGAAATAAATAAATTTAATTTTTCTAGCTGATTTTTAGTTATAAGCGGGTTTATTACGCGATTAATTTCTCGTTTAGACAATAAAAAAAATGTATTTTTGAACCTTAAATCTTAAAATTTTGAGCTTGGAATCGATAAAATAAGCAGCTCATCATTTAGAGAATGATAAATTTTCTATAATTTTTCAAAATATTGGGATTTTTTTAAAAAAAATTCTTGTTAGAGAGTCGCATCTCAGAGCGATACTTTCTCATACTAAAATTGTCGATATTTCTGTATAAATAAAAAAATTTAATTAATTATTTAATAAAAGTATTAAAGGAAAATAGTTTTTGCTCACTCTACTCATTTACTCCCGAAAAATATCATAAAAATATAATTAATATAGACCTTATACCGTGACATTTACGACAAATCTCATCGTCTATCTCGTAAGGTCAATATTGTAAAGAAATTTACCATTTAAAAACCGCAATTGTTTTTTTTTTTTTTATATCGCTAGTTTTGATAAACAATAGCGAAACATAAATACGCACGTCCATTCACCAGCCTGTCCATTGACGTCATTCCAACCGAGGAGATTCACGTGGTGTGTAGACACAACTTATATAGACCTCACCTTCGCGCTGCAGCCAGTTAGCGTTGGAAGTAGCTGGCATAACAATCGTTCGAAAGGTTTTAAATGTTTTTCAGGCCAAGGTTTACTATGAAAATGATATCCAAAGGTTACTGATAAATTATCTTACACGCAACAATGCCACTCAGGTAAATAATCTTTTTATTTTTACTGATTTTTTCCCCCCTCTTGTATAAGTTCGAGATTTTTAAATGGAGAATGTTTAAATTAAAATATATATTTTTATACAAATAAAATGGATTCCGAATTTATATTTAAATATTAATTTTAAAATGTTTAAAATAATTGTGTAATGATTTTTTTTTTTAAATCTATTATTCGAATTGCATGAGAGAGAACAAATATTTACATAAGTATATAAACTTTTATAATTTTATTTAAATAAGTTTTTTATTAAATTTATCCGCTTTAATTAAAACAAAAACGCTTATATAATAATTTACCTATTATGAGTTGTACAGATTTTTTTTAGTTAAAAACATGATGGTCCTGTGACATAAATATATTTAACA